CTTCGTCTGTCTAGATTTTTGACTCTTGTGCCTCTCATCATCTGACTCCTCATCTCCCCTTACTTCAAAATTGTACTTCTCCTCCCTTTCCTATTATTGTCAATGCTACTAATGAATCTGGCATGTCTGTTATATCTGTTGGGTTTGTCCTACCATCTGCTATGTCTGCTATCTCTATCTAAGGATGGGATATTTATCTCACAGAGAAAATATGTGCTTGACCTGTTGAAGGAAACTGGGATGCTTGGCTGCAAGGCATGTGCCACCCCACTGGAACCTAATCAGAAATTGGGGGATGATGAAGGAGGAGAAGTTGTGGATAGGGAGAGCTATCAACGTTTAGTTGGTAAGCTCATTTACTTATCTCACTCCCGTCCTGATATTGCTGTTGCTGTCAGTGTAGTTAGTCAGTTTATGCATGCTCCTCATCAGATTCTGCTACTTGGGTGTATCTCATGAAAGATAAGAGTGAGGTTTTCTCTGTGTTTCGCATTTTTCATAAGATGATTTGTACTCAGTTTGGGGCCACTATCAAAATATTTCGTTCTGATAATGGCGGGGAATACATAGATTCTGGGTTAGGACAATATTTCTCTACTCATGGCATTATCCATCAGACCTCTTGCACCAATACCCCTCAACAAAATGGGGTGGCCGAACGCAAGAATCGGCATCTTCTTGACATGGCTCGGTGCATGTGTTTTTTTATGAATGTGCCTCGGCCCTATTGGGGCGACGCTGTTCTCACCGCTGCCCATCTTATTAATCGTCTCCCTACCCAGGTCTTGAATAAACAGGCTCCGCTTCACGTCCTCCTCGGTTCTCTGTCCTTGTTTTCTATTCCTCCCAAAATATTTGGTTGTGTCTGTTTTGTCCATAATCACTCTCCCTCTCGTGGTAAGTTGGACCCTCGCTCCCTCAAGTGTGTTTTCCTTGGTTATTCTCTTACTCAAAAGGGGTATAAATGTTACCACCCTTCTCGTAAGTGGTTTGTGTCCATGGATGTAACTTTTTTTGAGTCCCAGTCCTATTTCTTATCCTCTCCGGTGTCACCGTCCTTATTTCTGGGAGAGCCTTGGTGTGAAGTGAGTCCTGTGCCTCCTATGGTGGAACCAGTTGTTCTTGCACCACCCTCTACTACTGTGCTTCCTATGGTGGAACCAGTTGTTCTTGCACCCCCTCTTCTACCGGGACTATAGAACCCACTGTCACCAAGAATAAGGACGGGCATGTTTATGTCCGGGACATAGACAGAAAACAAGTTAACTGGATACACGGGACCGTTTCTGCTACTCCACTGCCATCTCCTGCTTCTGATTAGAGTCTAGGTAACTTTGAATCTCTTGAGTCCATTGATCTTGATGTTCCTATTGCCAAGAGGAAGGGTGTGAGATCTTGTACTCAACATTCTATCTCACAGTTTGTATCATACTCTCATTTGTCATCCTCATATAGAGCGTTTGTATCCAATATTTCCTCTGTTAGCATTCCTAACCATTTTCAGGATGCTCTTGCTACCTCTGAGTGGAAACTCGCCATGATTGAGGAAATGAAAGCACTTAGGAAGAATGGCACTTGGGAATTGACTGAGTTACCTACGGGCAAACGACCTGTGGGATGTAAATGGGTATATACTGTGAAACACAAAGCAGATGGGTCTATTGAGCGTTACAAGGCAAGACTTGTGGCAAAAGAGTTTACTCAGACATATGGCATTGATTATCAGGAGATCTTCGCACCCATGGCTAAAATGAATTCAATCAGAACACTTCTCTCTCTAGCAGCTAATCTAGATTGGCCGCTTTATCAGTTTGATGTCAAGAATGCTTTTCTCCATGGTGACCTCAAAGAAGAAGTATATATGGACATTCCTCCGGGTTTTGAGGATCATCAAACAGAAGGCAAAGTATGCAAATTTCGGAAGTCATTATATGGTCTCAAACAGTCTCCAAGGGCTTGGTTTGAGAGATTAACTCAGGCTATGTTTAAATATGGTTTCAAACAAAGTCAGGCAGATCACACATTGTTTGTGAAACATTTCTCACGCGGTAAGACTACAGCACTTATTGTTTATGTAGATGACATAGTTCTTACAGGCAATGATAGTGGGGAAATACCTCTGTTGAAGAAATATTTAGCTAAAGAGTTTGAAATCAAAGACTTGGGAAGCTTGAAGTATTTTCTGGGAATTGAAGTTGCTCGCTCTAAGGATGCAATATTTATCTCACAGAGAAAATATGTGCTTGACCTGTTGAAGGAAACTGGGATGCTTGGCTGCAAAGCATGTGCCACTCAACTGGAACCAAATCAGAAATTGGGGGATGATGAAGGAGGAGAAATTGTGGATAGGGGAGTTCAGCGCCAGCCACAGCAGGTCCTTCGACTTCAGTCACCCCACCACATGATACCCCATACATTTCTCCATATTCCCCACACGTACATCTTACCCAGCATGCTGACCCTGACCCTGATTGGTCACCGCCCCGCTTCATGCATGATGTTATTACTCCACCCACCCAGTTACAGCCTTGTTAGAATTTCCCATCTTTACCTTCACCTACTCCACTACACACTCCACTTCACCTACCTCCACTTCACCACACACTCCACTTCACCTAACCCACTATCACCTCCACTACACCTACTACCACATTTTCTTCTATATATAGATTGTATAGGAATTGTAATTTATCAATCTTGTAATACATCAATCAATAATACAATTCTCTATTTCTCTTTATAGATTAAATTTTCTACAGATCACCACTTCATTAAGGAGAAACTCACTAGTGGTACCATTTGTACTCCTTTTGTCCAGTCTGGTGAACAACTTGCTGACATTCTCACCAAGGGGGTTGGGAATAAACCATTTCATGACATATTAGGCAAGCTGCGCATGAGAGATATCTTCGCACCAGCTTGAAGGGGCGTGTTAGCATATTATATTAGCCGAAAGTTACACTAGGGTCTGTAATCATTTTATGCCCTCAGGGATCATCTTGTAATTGTATTTCTTGTAAACCCTAATCTTTATTTATAAATAGGGGGTGATATTCTATCATACCCTAAGCTGGTTACCCAAGCTTCAAATTGTTGTTGAGCAGATATGAATATGTTGATATTTGTGGGTATCATTTCTGAAAGCCCTCACGAGATTATACTCGTCCACTTGGGGTAACCTTGCAGTTTAAAGGCATGTTGCATATGCTAAATGCAATTGTGATCCCTACGAAAGTGATTGAAAGTATTTTACTTTTCTTATTTCTTTTGTTTTGCTTGAGGACTAGCAAAATGTAAGTTGGGGGGTGTGATGTTGGCCGAAAGGTACCACATTGAGGCCACTTAAGTTACATTTTTAATCTTTCAATTTTATTTATTTGATGGAGATGATGTGTTCCGTGCACTAATACAGATTTGGTAGGAAATATGAAAACTCAATCAAAAAAGGCGCCAAAGCAGATCCTCCGTGCAAGAAGTGAAGAATCCGAGCCAGCCAAGCTTCACCTCACGTGCGGCCAAGCTTCACCGCACGTGCGGCCCACCACCGCTCATGCGGCCCACGTGGGCACTCGAGCGGCCCACCTAGGGACACGTGCACAGAATTCTTGGTCTGTTTTGCTGAGAATAAAAGACAAAAAAATAGCCAAACCTAGGGTTCGAAAAATTAATTCAGATGAAAGGGAGGGTAGGGTTCTAAAGAGGTGATTATTCTACCAACGCTTGAAGGACACTTCCATGGGGGTTTCTTCCTCATCTTCTTCCTCTTCCCACTCCTCCATGAGTGCTAGTCGTCTTTTCTAGGGTTTTGAAGAAACCCTAGCAATGTAATAGGATTTTTCATTAGCTTTAATTGTGAATTGGTTTGAATGGATGTATGGATGATTTAGAAGTTTCTAATATTTGTTTCTTTCATCTCTTCAAGCATTTTACTCTCTGTGATTGTTTAATACTTTCCATACATTAGTTTTCTTTGTGTTTGTATTCAAAGTACGAGACGAGTCATGCTATGAGAGACGGGTCGTATTGCTACCATAGTTTAGAGCAAGCGACTCGTACTACTCGGGATGATTCATGCCTGTATGTTGATGATTTAGAAGTTTCTAATATTTGTTTCTTTCATCTCTTCAAGCATTTTACTCTCTGTGATTGTTTAATACTTTCCATACATTAGTTTTCTTTGTGTTTGTATTCAAAGTACGAGACGAGTCATGCTATGAGAGACGGGTCGTATTGCTACCATAGTTTAGAGCAAGCGACTTGTACTACTCGGGATGATTCGTGCCTGTATGTTGAATGCGATAACCCTCTTGATCAATATTTCAAACTTGTAGTTGTGAAATATTGGGTAGTTCAAACCAAATCGCAATTGTTGGCCAATGTTAAGTCTCATTCATGTGGTTAGTGGTGAATCCTCTGCCCTAGGATTTTTTCCGAAAATTAATCTCTCAAACCCTAATTTTAATTGTCAGTACAATTCCTCAATTTCATTTAATTGTTGTTTAGTTATTAAATCAATCCTATCTTTTTTATCAAAATTAATTTAGGAATTTTGCGATTGAATTAATCTAATTTCACATTTGTCCTTGTGGATCGATACCTGGACTTGCCATTATTCTAATAGAATTTGGTATAGTTTAGTGATTTATTTTTGGTGTGTAACGACCCATCAACCACAAAAACACCAGTGATTCATCTCACATATATATATATATACAAGGTAGACCTCTCAACAAAGACCAAATACATATGTACCCGCACGTATACATGGTGAAGCATGTTTATGGACTCTAAAATTCTAAAATCACTAATGAGTAATGATGCTTTCTCAAATCCAGAAATTTTGTATATATTATCTAAAAGCTATCATAAACGAGTCAACAAACACATGGAATACGGACAAATTTCCCACTCGCACCAAAGATTCACATCCCTCAAAACTACATAAAAATAAACTTACCATAACATAATACTATGAAATGTTAAGCGAGGAAAGAAGATACCTCCACTGAAGTATGAGGTCAATATCAAGTTCACGATCCAGTTCCTCAATTTCTTTGTTGTCATCAACCACTGCCCGACTGGGGTCCGATTTCAGAAGTGAAGCATACAGAGATATATATTTCTTGCGCAAACTTGCATACCTAAGGACCTGCTCCCATGACAATCTCCCACTGCCAACAGATTAAAAAAAAAAAATTAAAAAAATTGCCACATGTAGAAGTGAGAACCCAAATTCGACTAGCAAGATAGAAATAAAATTAAAAGGATAAATAGATAATTAAATGAAAAGAGAATTCCAAATAGAAGGAAAACAAAAGGATTAAAAAAAATAAAAAAAAATAAAAAAAGAGCAAAGAATGAAATTATCATAGAGGAATACAGAAGTAATAATAAACAGAGAAGCAGCAGCAAAAGAAGGATACACAAGTAGTACTCAATCCAGACAATCCATAACCCCGACACAAGCCATTTTCTCTCCATCATCTGAAACTCCATTTGTTTTCTTTTCAAAGGGAGACACAACTAAAGTGCACTAAGTGACTGTGTCCACAGCAGGTGCAAAGTGCAACATACTTCAGCAACAGAGCAAAAATAGGAGTCGATTCAGCTGAATTCAGTACGAAGGAGAAACGAAGTAACAAAGTATGAAACTAGGAGAAATAAGAGACGAAAACCAACACTCCAAAATAGGTGCCGTAGTAGTGTCAGACACGGCGGGGATAGGAACGAGACATGCCATCTAGCATGCCCCTTTATTTAATTAATTTGTTTTGAGGGGACACTCCAACTAATTTTTCTCCCATCTTCTTTAGTGCTTTTGATGGATGTTCGATATTGAATGTTTATTACTTTTTGTTTAGATTTAAATAATTAATAGATCATTCATAAATAAAAAAAAGACAAACTGTAAAAAGTTAACTTAAGTCAAGGGTTTTGTATATATATTAAATTAGTATTAGATTTTGTTAATTTTGATTGTTTATAGACGTAATATTAATCTACATATCAAATAAAAATATATTTAATATTTCCGTATTCCCATCGTGTCCATGTCCCATTTTTTTTTAAATCACCATGTCCCGTGTCCATGCTTCTTAGAAAGAGACAGTTACTAGGAATGGCTGAGGGGTAAGGAAGAGTGTATCTGTGTTGAAATTATTTCTCTTCTGGTTATTTGCCTAGCCTGGGAACTCTTACCATAATTTTGTTTAAGACCACCTCCCTCCAAAAAAAATCTGTGCTAAAAATTTTTTTATCTGATTTTCTGTGTCTTTGATCCTCTTGAAACCTATGCCATTTGCTATTTGACTCTGTCAACCTTTAATGGGAACAAGCTACCCTACTCATATATAGATCAAAACCAATATCATGTAACTTAATAATAATGCCAGTAAAAATATTTTAAGTTATAACATAATCAATTCTCAAATCTGAATAGTTTCTTAGGACCTTGCCTCAGGTTTCTGAAAATACACTGCATTGCACTCCCTTGCTCTTTTTTCCTTTTTTTTCCCAGCCACTCCTCTTTAAATGTCAATTACATGAACAGGAATTGATACATCATCCTCCAATTTTATAAAGCACCCATTTTACCCTTATTAAAGTTTATCAATTCAGAAAAACTCCATGACACCTTCATTCCAAGTCGTAAGAAAAGTCAATGGAAAAAGTAACAATATAGTGCAAAAATAGTCATCCCATTGAAAAATAAAATAAACTATAAAAATTCATCATCTCATTGTGAGATGTTATGTTATATTAGTTAATATTTGAGGGTAGTTTAGGCATAAGCTATGTATTTAGCATTTTAGGGTTTCTTATGTTTTACCTATTTAATATTGGTTTAGCATTGTAATCATTATTCAATTCATCAATAATACATATAGTTCTTTTCGTTACGTCAACTATCATGGTTTCAAAGCCATAGTACTCGAGGATAGGTAGGGTGCGTGTCCTTGGCTTGCACGCCGCAGGTGCTGCCAAGTGAGCATGTTGGGCGTGAAGGACGGTGTGAAGCAAAGTCCCACACTGCCTAAGTACTAAAGTAATGTTAAGTACATAAGCATGAGGGCACCCTCACCTCTTGAGCTAGCTTTTGGGGTTGAGTTCTACCCAAAACAGTGTCACACTCACCACCTCATTCCTGGTCATTAAGTTACCCCAACCAGCTTCCCTGCCACAACCAGTCAACAAATATACTGGCAACAACTATACCTCCACTACAATTAGACCAAAATTTCAGCAACATCACCATAGTTGTCAATGTTAAACCATACCCAACATCTATAACCTCTATTAAAGCATCAACCTTCCTTCTCTAAGAAAACTATTGATCTCTCTTTAGCTTTGTTGTGGCTTCTTTTATTTTTGTGGCCATTAATGAATTGTCCTGCAACTAATTTAGGGTGGAGAGGAGCGCGTTTGAAATTTGAGTTGAATTGAGATCCCAATAATATAATCTCAACTGTGAAAGAATGAATTAGAAGGTGCCATTATCCAAGCAACTGTTTGGGAGATCTATACCTTGAGTTCAATTGACTGAATAATGTATATATATATATAAACATATATAGATGACTGCTGTAGGTGTGTGTTTGGGTGTGTCAATATGTGGTGGAATGGGGAGGCGCGCATGCACAGATATTTATGCGGTGGACTGTAGGGAGGGATCAACTTCGAAAATATTTATTATGAAAGCCTGCATTGCCAAACATTCAGCTATAGACATCAAGGAGGTAATCTATAAACAAAAGCTCAATTTCCTAAAATCTCAGTTGCAGTGGAGGAAAATGGGAAAAGAAAATGAAGACTTAAGTAGAAAAGAACGAGCCAGTTAGATACCTAGCCTTCTTCATCTCATCTGAAACAGCTTTATAAGCATACTTCCACCAAGATCTCGGATCGGATTTCACAGCAACAAACGGGCGCAAATGAGCATGTTTCAATCGTTGATTAAAGGCAGCAAAGTTATCAGCTAATTTTAGTAAATCCCTATAACCATTCTGCAAACATTAAAAGTATTTAGCCTTCCAACACCATTTAAAATGTGTTAGCCTCAGAACCAGCATAGAGAAGATAAGTAGATCAACCTTTGACAAACAGAGAGTAACATCATCCAAGTTTACTGCTGCTTTTTGTCGAGGTTGACCACTATTAGCAAATTCATTTGGCCGCAGCTTTGAGTACTTTGCATTTCCAGTCACTGGTTGCAGGACATAAGTGTGCCTTCTAAGACTGTCAGCTGGTTTGCCATCCTTCGTGCCAAATTTAAAAACCTGTCGCTCATGGGAGTGCCCTATGATTCAGTTCCAAAACGTAGAAATTAGGTGCAAGTTGGTAACTTTAGCAAACAGTACATACCTGACGCCATTCCTCTGGTAGCAAATCCTCCCATGGCTTATCAACATGCCATGGACAACAATCAGAATCCAAATAAACAGCCAGACCCTCAAGTTCTACGGACTGTAAAACAATGAGTACAAAAGAAACATGTGAACGGACAGAAATGATGAAACCTCACATCAAAAAATCATTCAGCTGGGACAAGGGAAAGCAAAAGGTTTATTATCTCCACCATAATTAACACCAAATTAAACATACAAGTAAAACAAGGAAAGGAAACACATTCTGACTAGTTTAAGTAAATACTTCCAACAAAGATGATCAAGTAAAAGAGGTATTGAAATTGAAGCATATAAATTTTTTTTTTAAAAAAATGAACTTTTCAAAAGTAGCACAAAACTTTGAGCTTTCTATTTTCTTTCAGCTGGTGAATGACGAGTTTTTACAGGCAGGCAAACCACATGGGAGAGTGTAAAGTGAAAGGCACAAGTACAGGAAAGATGTGAAGGTTACGTTAAAAAATAACATGAGGTTCACTACACAGATAGAAAATAGCATACATATGGAACTGTCATCCCTATAATATTAAGAATGGAAAGAAAATCAACGAGGTAGATATTATTAGTCACCATGCTCATAAAATAGCAGCACAAGGTCAACACATCATAAAAAATAAATTTATGAGCCTCTTGTATAGGTGGGTAATAGTGAACCGATGGCTGGATTCCCTCCCCCCCCACCCCCACACACACCCCAACCAGAACTCCCACTCCCTTTGGGCATTCTGGAGAGAATTTTGAGCCACATCAGATGACTTGTAGTGTTCTTGTGGTTTTTTTGGCTTCATATACTAGTAGATGTACATAGGTGGCATCCCCTTTTAATGCCTTCTATATTTAACTAAGAAATAAGAATTATAACATTACCAAAGGCATTAAGAAACAAAACCAGCCACGCAGACCGTCCAGAAATCCCATTTTTTATACAGATGCAATAATATAACAATCACCAACGACTTCATTTCTTAGAAAATTAAACATTTACTGTGAACCTAGACAAATATGGCAGCAAGTTGACAAAAGAGGAAATTCCTTTTAACACTAGTTAATGGTGTAAAAAAATAATAAAAATAATTTTTAAAATAATAAAAAAAGGAGAGAGAGAGAGAGAGAGAGAGAACCTTCTGAATGCGGTCTAGTGCACCCCCTGTAACAAAAGTCTCTGTTCCGTTATCATCAACTGTCACAGCTGACAGCCTCTCCAAGGTTACACCAGCTGCAAATGGGTGACCGGGATTGCTACAAATTGGGAATCATGAGGTTTATACACAAGTTATTAAATTACAAGAAATCAGGATTCAAACTTATTTACCTCTCAAGATCTTCATATCGGATGTGAATATTTGAAATCGAAAGCTTCAAGTTACCAATTATTGTGTCGATCAATGACCCCAGCCATGATTTGTTCTTTAAAACAACCAAGCAACAGGAGGTTAAATTCACACCATATCACAAACAAGACTCTAGAGAAAATAATTAAAGTACACAAGAAAGTTAACTATTTTGTTTCAATGAATTGGCCTACAAGTATTCAATTTTCAGTACTATATTGCCTATTACAAGAAACAACAGTAACTAAATTCACATGTGAAATGGGGACGAGGACAGGAATGACCAAAGCAAGTAAAAGCATGAAGATAACTAATAATTTTCTTGTCTGGAGCAGCAACATAGTAAAGATACCATGTACAAATGATTAAAAACAGTAATAATTACTACAAAAAATTAATAACAGTATGACTAAGAATTTGTTGAGAATCACCCCTGCAGGAAGAACTCCAATAGACAAGGAGGATACATCTGTATAATACGCATATCCAAAAAAATTCCCCGCAGAAGTGGCATGGAACCACAAAGAATAATTGATATGAAACTTAAAACTGCTTAACAAAAGATAAAGTATGCAATGATAAATGCAAATTCTCAACTGCTGTGCATCTGTTTTAGAATGTTCTATTCACTGATATAAAAAAGAAGAAAAAAAATCTCCATTATCTTGTTTCTTATTATATATATATATATATATAGAACAACAACCAAGCATCAAAATTAATTGAATCAACTCCAAATAACAGGAGGCCCTATTATTGCAGGAGCCATAAAATAATGCACCTGTCCTCATGCTATCTTCCACTCCTCTTCTCAGTTGTTGCTTATGATTGTTCGTGTTTAAGATTTCTTGAGAATGCTAAAGCGTTCTGGAATATTTTAAACAACCAGCAGCAATGGAATACAATTGCTGAAACCTATCCAATCATATTTATGTTTTACTTTTTCCCCTTTCAGCCCTTCTACAGCGAAATTGGTATGTGCCACTCCTCCATTTTATGTTCACAACGATAATATTGAGAAAATAAAACAAACTTTGACTTCCAATTCTCCATTTCAATTTTAGGAACTCAAAAGACCAAAACTTCCAATTTGTCTATGAACAGAGCTTTCAAAGATAGATATTGCAACTTTCTGTTGACACTTAATTTTCCAATATGTAGAATGTGAAAAATGATTTAACGATATAAAAAAATAAAAAGTATTTGTAACGTAAAAAATACAAAAATAGTTATTATTTTCACGTATACATATATATATGTATATATGTGTGTGTGTGTGTGTGATGCTGTGTATCAGGCACACCATATCCTGATTTTTTAAAAATTGTCATATTGACGTATCAATATCTTGTTGGATCTGTCTCATGTTCATATCCATGACACTTAGAATGCAATCTATTCATAAATTTGACTCAAGATATACTTTTCAAACTGGTTAAAGAGTAAAACTGACTTACTGGGACCACTCATGTTATATCTTACACATTCAAATGAAGTAATACATCCGCCATAAATTTAAACATAATATTGAAGTAATAACGAGTAAATGAGTACAATCAAAGTTGATCTTTCTACAATAAGGCTGAGTTTAGCATTGTAATTGAGAAGAAACAAACGGTTTTATTCCCAATCACATTAATCTCTTATTACAGTTATCAAGGATATGCCCTTATCTAAACGTTCTAAGCACAAGTCAAAATGAAGCCTATAGCCATAAGAAGCCTCGATAGATTTCTGTGGCCCTTCGCTTGAGCAGGATGCTGGGAAGTTGACAGAAATGAATACTCTCAAAAGCTTGAATTTTCAAATTTTGGAAAAGATCTAAAGTGACTTGTTAAGTAAGCTTTATAAGCATAAGCAGCAACCTGCTTTCCATAATTCAGATGCATTAGCCACTTACGGCTTAACAAAAGCTCAGCCAAACACAACCTAAGAATCCCTAACACATAAAGTAGTATCATCAGCAAATTTATGTCAAATGTTTACATAACCCTCCAAGAGAACTATCAGAAAGCATACCATTTCTTCTGACTTTAATAGTTGTCTACTCTCCAAAAGCTTCATTTCCATTTCCTATCAAAGAGGAAGCAATAAATCAGACATTTAAACATCCACATGAAGCAGACAATCGAATTTGACAAACTAGAAAAATGTCTTACCAGTATTCGGCTTTTCTTAACTTCTTGGACAGCATCTTCACTGCACCCTTCAACTTGAGTTGCAGGCTCAGCTAGCAAAAAAATACGATCCAGGGAGACTAAAACTGGATCTTGGCCAAGCCTACTCCATGGGACCTGAAATGAAGGAACATGACACACCTTTTTGCGGAAGAATACAGAAATTGATATTAGTCATACACAGTTAGCAGCTTGAGTTTTGTAGTAATATGGAGATTAATTTAGTGATTGACGGAAAAAAATATATTATTCACTGTCTCATGGTATTGACCAAATTTAATAATTTTTTCAAAGTTTACTGGTGATTTGCAGAACTCCATTATATCTAAAAAGCCAAGAATATTTAACAAGTAGTGTCCACTCGTTTCTTTCTTTTCTTTTTTTTAAATCAGCAGTGTGCACTTGTTTCTAATATCCAGGTTCACCACCCAAGTACCTTTGCCATATGAAAAATGGAAAACATGCAACAGATGAGTATTCTTTCAGTTTCGTAGACAAATAACTAATTGAAAGACATAGCAAGCGACAAAGAACCTCTTAAATCCTGACAGAAAAATCTGGGTCTGTTTGGTTGTGTTTTCGGGGGTTTTTTTTTTTATTTGACAAATTTCTTCTTTTCCATTTTTCGTTTTTCGGAAACAAAAACAAATAAAAGTTTGAAAACTCCCATCATTTTGGAAAAAAATTTGGAAACTTCCAAGAAAGCTTGATGCAACATATATTTGTCTGTCAGATTATAAGATATTTATTTCAACAAACACTTTCTAGATATACACTTGTCATTTTGATCTAAGTGATAGACGAGTCACAAGACTAGTATGACTTCACAAACCTTCAACTTCACTGACCCAAGGAATCCTGCCTTAACCTTCACAGGCAACTTTAATGCATTCAATGCCTCTGGCTTCAATTGCATATTTGTTAGCTCTACATCACCTGTTACAGTTTTAAAGCAATGAGTCAAAAGATATAAACAAATTAAGAAACAATCACAAAATAAATACACCAATAAGGTACAAAGTATATAAGCAACTATTAGATTAGTGAGCCAACAACACAATATCCCACCCACTAAGTAGCAAGTATACAGTAAATCTTTGTACTTACAATGAAATAAACTACCGTTCACTCGCTCCCCCCATCAACCAACAAGAACAATAGATAAAGTACTTCGTTAAGTATCTGTTATCAAGCTCAACAATATGATTACCCCACCCAACACCCAGTACAAATAGTACTAAAAGATCCCATGATGCTCCATATTTTACTTCATAGGGTACATCGAGGTCAACCGGCCATTATTTTGTTGTTACAATGGAGTGTATTATTTTAATATATAGAGTATCTGGGATCAACCATCATCCAAAGGGTGAACCATAAAAACAAAAAATGAGAATTATATATATTTTTAGACTTTTAGTTCGATTTTTAGTATTTCTTTTCTTTGGTGAATGAGAGAGTTGACTGAGTTGATAGGAACAAATTAATTGCTATGGATTGACATAAATATTTATTAGCAGTCTACATTGGCAACATGAGGGCGAAAAAAGAAAAGAGAGGGAGGTTTCTATTGAATTTTGGCATAGCGGGCCCATAAAGGCATTTCCCCCTAACGTTAGAATTTTCTGAAAAGTAACTATCTTAGTTTCATATAGAAATTTATATAGAATCTTCAAAAAAAACAAAAAAATGGAAAAATAAATAACAGCTAACACACTATGTTCACTTCATAATGAAATGAAGGTCCAACATTACATAAATCATTCGGCTAATAAAATAAGTCATTTTCTTTTTATGCTTATTCATACTAATGTGTGGGGAGCTTCCTTGTTATCTCTCTTTCTAGTTATTGTTGCCTTGTTACCTTTATTGACTATTATTCTCATTTTACTTAGATAAGTCATACTAAAAGTGAATTTTTTTTCTTGTTTTACAACTTTTCATAAGATGCTAACAAACCAATTTGATGCCAAAATCAAATTCCTTCGAAGTGACAATAGGAATGAGTTCTAAATATATCGATCAGGCTTTTTGGGCCTATCTTGAGGAAAATGATATTCTTTATCAAACTAGTTATGTAGGTACTCCAAAACAAAATGAGCTTGATGAACGAAAAAACGGCCATCTCCTTCAAGTTGCTGGCTTTCTTGTGTTTAGTATGAATGTTCCAGTCTATTTGGAACGATGCAGTTCTTACTACATGTTATCTTATTAACCCTATGCATACTGGTATTCTCCAGTTTAAAATTCCTCTCGCATTTCTTCCCATGACTCTTGCCACTTCTTTTGTTCCTCCAAAAACATTTAGATATACTTGCTTTGTCCATAATAAAAAATACGCTCATGGGAAACTTGATCCTAAGGCTTTGAGGCGTCTCTTGGGTACTCTACTTCTCATAATGGATATAAGTGCTATGATCCTCAAGGTCACAAAGTGTATGTCAGTATGGATGTCACCTTTCACAAAGCTAAGACCTTTTTTTTTCTGTTTTACCTCAGCCATCTCTTTAGGAGGAGAGTAATACAAGGGAAGAGATGTCAATTGCTCAACAGGAGTTACAGTGTTCCTTCCTACTTAGATGGCTATTATTTATGATGAGGGGGAGGGTATGATACGAGTTAAGGGGGAGCCTAAGCCTGAGCCTAACATTGGTAGGCGATTACTTAGGATTGATCTCAAAATTGATTCTCAAATAAAGAACAAACATGTAACATGCCACCATGCCAAGTTGCCGACTATCATCCTTGACACCAGTTTCAAATCCTCTCACTCAACTGTCAAGTAATGAATCTCTTATTATTACTTTTGTTAGAGACGATCGGGTAATAGTGATTTTGATCTCCCAATAGGTTTACTACTTGCACTCAGCACTCTATATCTGATTTGTTTCCTATAATTTGAATTTTGTCTCGTGCATTTGTTTCACCTATGTCCTCTGTGTGTATTCCACAAGATTTAAAGAAAACTATCAATGATCCTAAGTAAAAATATGCTATGGCGGAGAAGATGAAAGCTTTAAGCAATAATGAAACTTGAAAGTTGATTCTTTTTCCAGATGGAAAGAAATCAATAAGGTGTAAGGAGTAAGGTGTAAATGGGTGTGTTGGCACAAATTTCAACCAAATTTATGTTAAAATTTCAAGTACAGTCAATCAGTCAATGACACATATAGAGCCTATGATAGGAATGTTGTAGGTAATCACTTCCTAAAATGATCAATATGATCCATTGAAGTGCAGTAATAAAACGATGTCATATCTCAACAATGTTATCCAAAATACTCAAAAGACACGTAGAGCCTACAAAAGATGACACCTGTAGAACCTACAGCAAGGACACCGCATGGGATGAAATCCAAATGATTAGTATGGTTAATCATATTACAATTAATTAGATATGATGATGCCAAATTTAAGTGGCATATCATTCAATTTGTAATTCAAATTGAAGATAGCAAGCTCTTATCACATAGATGACCCTCCATAAATATGAGGACCATTACACAAGGAGGGGGGGTGGGAAAATCAAAGATCAAAAGATCAAAAATCAAAGGATCAAGAATCAGAGATATAAGGAGAGAGAGAGAGAGAGAGAGAGAAATCAGTAGTCAAAGAAGTCTTCAAAAAGAAGAAGAAGAATGAGAAATCGGGAGAATTCAAGAGCCTACGCTACAAACGGATAATGGCAATCAATAAGTAAAGGGTTCCAAGCCCAAGAATTGTACTTTGTATTCATGGGTTAAAAACCCACAACAATTCAATAAAATATTTCTTTTCCTTAAACTGTCTTTTGTTAATTTTTTGTTCTTTATTAATAAGAGGTTTCATTTAATGTGTAATTAACGATCTGGAATACAGATCGGAAATAGGAACCTGTTATTCAAATAATCAATATGTTTAGTCCAAAAACTAAATAGTGGGCATTTGTAACATGAATTCCGAAATGTGCTCAAACGCTTCATGTTTCGAAATTTGTCTCTACAGGGTGTTTACCATTAAGCAAAAAAGCAAATGAAACAATTGAGAGATAGAAGACAACACTTGTTAGCATTGACTAACAAGAGACATTTCCTCCTATAGCAAAGACGAATACTATTCGTACCCTTCTTTCTTGTGCAACTAATTTAGATTAGCCATTACAATAGTAGATGTTAAGAATGCATTTCTCAGGCTGATTTAAAGAAGGAATTATATATGAATGTGCCACCAGGATTCTCATCTCTGTTTATTGTTGAAAAAGTTTGTAGGTTGAAGAACTCTTTGTAGGTTGAAACAATCTACTGAAGCTTGGTTTGTTTTTTTTCTTAGAGCTATGCAACCAATTGGGTACAAGTAAAGTAATGCAGATCACGGTATGTTTGTTAAATGAGATGAGAATAAAATTATTGTTCCTATTGTTTATGTGCATGCCATAGTGGTGACCGGCAATGACTTGGAGAAAGTAACTCAACTCAAGGCAAGGTTAGCTAAGGAGTTTGAGATCAAAGATATTGGTCCTTTAACACACTTCCCTGCGACTGAAGTTGCCAAATCAAATAAGAGCATCTTTATTCCAACACTCATAATGCCTACTCAGATCTTGTGGGCTCCTGTTACATGCTCATGTTACTTGACTCTTCCTGACAAGGATAAACCACCTTCAATTTTGTCTATAGTCGTCAGTAAAGTTCTTGCATAGTCTAGTAAGAAAATTTATATGGGAAGCTTTGCTGGTTTCCAAGATCAAAATATGTTTTTTTGTTACTCGTTGATGTGGCAGTTTTATATAGAGTCATATAATGGCAACAGTAGGTGCAACCATTATGGAAACAATCATACACTACATATGCATAACGACATTATGGGAAAGAAATGGAAGACTCCAGTAATCAAGTTCAAATTTTCAAATAAATTGACCAATCAAAGCATTTTACTACAACACCTTTTCCATTACACCCCAAAGAAGCCTATGACCACTCCCAAATTGAAGTATTCAGCCTATTCAGCAATTGTTTGGACGTGTCCAAATTAAAAATTAAAAATAATGTCACACATTTGGATGGGTGTCTGACTCTTAGTTGCACGAAGCGGGAGCGGAGGCAGGAGCAAGGAAGCGTGAGCCAACAGAAGTTTCTTAGGTTGGGAGCGCATCAGGGAGCGGTAATATATATATATATATATATATTAAAATACACATTAGAAGTTTTTTATAAATATTTTTATTTCAATACACATTAAATATTTTATTTATTTATTATATTTTTTAAATAATGTATTATTGTTAATTTATTTTTTTATTTTTAATTGATATATATTATAAATAAAAAATTATAATAAATAAGGAATAATAAATTATGTTAAAATAAACAAAAAGAAAAATTAGATATTTTATTTTATAATTTTTTTATTATATATGATTTTATTTTATAATTTTTTTATTCTATATGTTAATGTTTAGGATATTGAGAATATTAAAAATATAAAAAAATAAATAAAAGATGTAAAATGGTTTTTTTATTACTAAAAACAAAAAAAGGTAAAAAAAATAAAATAAAGAATAAAAGAGGGAGGGAGGGAGGGAGAGACAGCAACGAAGAGGGAAGAGAGAGGAGTCGAATAGAGGGGAGGAACAAGAGAGACGAACAGAGAGAGAGAGAGAGAAGACAAAGACGAAGATGAACACAAAGAGAGAGAGATACGAAGGACGAAGGAGACGATGATGAAGAGCATCGAACAGAGGGAGAGATAGAGTCAAAGAAGATAAACAGGTTCGACTTCGACGATGAACAGAGGGAGAGAGATAGTCGAACCCACATAGATTAGAAGAACATACCTTAATCTAGTCTCGATTAGGGCTTCAACAGGTTTTTCCCCTTTCCCTTTCTCTTTCTCTGTCTTCAATAGGTTAGGGTTTCTGTCTGTTTTCTCTTTCTCTGTCTTCAATGGGTTAGGCCTTCTCTCTATCTGGGTTTCTGAGTTGTTTTATTTCCACCAACGATCCCATCTTGGACAGGATCGCGTTTCTCTCTCTACAGAAACGCGATTCTTACACGTTTCTTTTTAAGAAACGCGGAATCGCGTTTCTTACGAAGATTCGTCACCTGGTTGCACGATTCCTGCAACTAAGGTCTGACTTGTATATGAAGTGTCCAATGAACATGGACACGCCGCCTTCTTAAAAGTGTATGTGCTTCTTATTAAGCTAGTGCTCCATACATCTCTCTGCAAGTAACTATTAGAACATGATCAACCATAGTCAATAATCAACATCATCTCCCTCTCTCCCTCCATATTTATTATTCATCCACGTGTAAAAATGTGTGGTATTTGAACTGCATTTCTATTTCTCTAAAACTATCACATTTCAATACTACTAACCCAAGTGCAGCCACTGGCAAGACCAGCGTTGTGTAAAGGCCTCAAAATTATTCACCTCAATAAAGTAACCTTATAAAATGAATGAAATCTTAAAGACATTGTAGTATGCTCAATATACACACACACAGGACACATACACTCAACCTAAACAATTGACATTTATATATATATATATATTCACTAAGAGTCCACTTTGGTTGACACAAATTATCACCCTAAACATCGAACTTGATCATTCTAAAGTTTTTTTTTTTTCCCTGATAAAAAAAATAAAAAATAAAAAAATTAATGATCAAGTTCAATGTTTAATCGTTCTAAATTTTTTTTTCCAAGTTCAATGTTTGATCCTCTAAAGCTTTTATTTTTTTAATCAAACATTGACCTTGATCGTTCTAAAGTTTTTAACTTAAAAATAAAAAAATAAAAAAACTTTAAATGAACAAGTTCCGTGTTTAGAGTGATAATTTGTGTGTATATATATATATACAAAAATCATCCTAATGTTGAATCCCTACAAATTACACTTATGCTGTAATTGGTTGAAGGATTTGAGAAGAAATTTGAAAAGGCAAAAGGAAAATATACGTGAAACTAGGTGAGACTTTTTCATTTCTCTTTTCATATCCCTTTCCAAATCCCCAACCAAACGCAACGTTAGTCCGCATTTCCATTTCTCTCACTCTCACCCAACTGACACACCACAATTCGCATACTCGATCATCAATTAAACATTCAACCATTTCAAACCCTGGGCATTCACTCTACTCTACTTCAAAATCACAGCGATAAAGAAGGCGACCAATCACGATATCGAATCTATTAAAAAAAACACGAATTGAAATTGAAAAAGAAGAAGTGAAGGAGGAGTAATCGAACCTTTCCAGACACTGATCTTGAGAGCTTCTTTGTTGAGACCTCTGACATAATTGCCGAGGTATCTCTGCAACAGAGATGCCACCTGATCTTCCAACATCTTCAAATGGATTGTGGAAGATACATAGACAGACAAAGAGAGAGACTATGCATATGTACACAATTCAAGTGTGTGTATATATGTGTAGTTGTATGTATGTGTGGTGTGTGTGAATATATGCATACATAGTGAGAGAGAGAGAGAGAGAGAGAGAGAGAGAGAGATGTTGGGGATTTGGGAAGAGCAAGGGGGAGATTGTGCGAGCAGAGACGATTGTAGAGAGAGAAAGTCGAGAGAATAAAAGCTAAAGACCCTCCTCTTTGACACGCAACCCAACCCAACGCAACGCAAAGCCTCGTTGGTAAAGAACTACATGACAGGTGGAGAGTTTGTGGCGGGCCACGTAAGGTCGCAATATGGTCACCTGATGATGGATTTCTTGTAACGTTCAATCACGTGACTTGAGAAGCGGTTCGTAATTGGTTCCGGATGGGTTTTTTTTTTCACTCCATATGTATATTATATACACCGTGGGAGTTTAGGTTTCGTTTGAAAAAAAAATAAAATTTAACTTCATTTTTTAATTTTTTTAACTTGTCTTTAAAAAGTCCTGGCATGGACGAATTTCTGACTTTTTAATAATTTTATGAAAAATAAAATAAAATAATTATAATTTATATATGATATTTTTTAATTTATTTTATTTTTTAATATATTAAACTAAGGTCCCGTTTGGGGACTTACCTTTTTTGTCAAAAAGTCAAAAAGTTATCTTTTTAGCCAAAAAGTCAACCACTCATACCAAAAAGTCACAGATTGTCTTTTCTCTCTACTTTTACACATCTTTTCGTAATTAGTCAAAAAAGCATCTCAAACATATAAGTTTTTTTTACTTACTTTTTTAGCCAAATAACCAAAAAATTACTAAATTAACTTGTTCCCAAAGGAGACTTAATTCCAACCACATTGCCAAACAGAAGCTGCCAAACAGAGACTTAGTAGATGTTAGATACTAGAGAAGGTAGAACAACCAAAAGAAAGGTATCAATTTCTTTTGATATAATAAATTTATAATCTTAAGTTATCAAATGGTATTACACAATCACTTAAATAATGGTTTATAATTAACCCGTTGGAGTTTTGTAGTAGACATGTCAAATTTCATTTATATACCACTGATCTTTTCAATTTACACCGTTACATGTTTTTGTTTAGGTTAATTATAAAAAAATAAATAATAAATTAAGATTTCACGTATTCTTCACTTTAAATCTCAGTACTTCAATTTTGACAAATTAGATCTTGAAATTTCATCCGTGTTTCAATTTGTCTCTTCTGTCTATCTCCGTCTCTGTAGGATAACGAAGACAGTTTAAAGTGAAAAACAAATGAAACCCTTAGATTTATTTTGTAATTAATCTCTTTTTTTTAGTGATTTAATTTTTTTTAAAATGGTTAATTATACACACTAAAAATTTAAAAAAAAAAAACTAAGGTTTCACGCATTTTTTACTTTAAACCTTAGTATTTTTCACTTTAAACCTCCTCTGTTACCTTACACAGATAGAGATTGATGGAATTGGCAAATTGAAATATGGATGAAACTCTAAAATTTAATTTGTTAAAATTAAAATATTAAATTTTAAAGTGAAAAATACGTAAAATCTTAAATTTTTTTTTTTAGCTAATCCTTTTTGTTTTAATTATCCCATTGTCTTCGTCTTTCATCTATTATCGTTGTCACCTTTTCTTCATTCTTTTTTTCTCTTTTCTTGTTCCGTCATCATGAATACCTAACCCATCATCCTAGTCTCACTATGACTCCACTCTTCCACTATCTCTCAATCCATCGTAGCCCTCCTCTACCATGAATTGTAGATATTAGGATTTTCAAATCTAAGATGTTGGAAGAAGAATGAGGAGGATGAAAAAAATAAAATAAAAAAGTATAAGAATAAGAAAATAATGGGTTATGCGTCATAAAAGCGGAGATCGTTGAGAGTGGAGTTGCAATGGTGGTGGTCGTCAAGGGTGGTTGTTGCAATTATGGTGGTTGTGAGGTAATGAAGCAACCATGGTGTTATAAAGGAGATGGAGCAATTGTAGTGGTGGAAGTTGATGGTAGTGATTTAGTGATATGTATTGATAAATGAAAGTTTAAATTTTTTGTCTAAAAAAGGTAATTTTGTTTAAAGATACAAAGGGAAACAATTATAAGTGATAATATTTCAAAACTATTGGAACTCTAAATAAATTATTAAATATTTTACACATTATTTGAAAAAATTTAAGTAATAATATTTAAAAAATACTCAAATACTAAGTCCTCATTTGGTATAGCGATCCCAATTTTAACCCAACACTTGTGGTAGTTCGGACTCAGGTTTATGGTTTCTGAATGTTGTTCATTGTCTTTTCCTCTTTATTTCTCCTTAAATTTGGTTATTTGGGAGTTTTAAGTGTGTTTGGAACAAGTTGGTTGCTTGATTTTCAAACCTTGTTCTGTCCAGAGTTTTGGTTCTCTGCTCGAGCGGTCTTTATTGCGCTCGAGTGGGATTTGCAAACTCTCAGTACTTTGTACGTTTACAAAAGTACTTGAGGGGTGTTTTCTACGCTCGACTGGGTTGGTGCTCGAGCGGACTTTCTTGCACTCGAACGGTTTATCTGATATCTGCAAAAGTACTGAATGTGTGTATTCTGCGCTCAAGCGGGCCACTTTTGCGCTTGAGCGGAACAAATTTTTATGTCTGACGATCAAGTGTCAACTCTTCCGCTCAAGCGGACTGTGCGTATATCAGATCACGAAAACAACATTTTATATCACTTTTTCATTATTCTCTCTCTCTAAAACTTTTCAAAAATCTTTATCTTGACTATTTCTCTCCAAAACACTCTCTCTCTCTCTCTACATTTTGACATAGATCCTTTGGGTTCTCTACCCTAGTGTCTTTGATAAAAAGTTAGAGCATTCCAAGAGCTTTATTTTGATTCGATTGGAACTTGGTTTTGGCGTTGTTAAGAGTTCCACTTTGTTTTGCTTGGTCTTCTCTTCTTAAGGTAGGGATTTCCTACACTTTAATATAGTTTTTAACTTGGTTATGTGTAGTTGTGTAACAATGGTGGGATTTGGGGATAATGTGAACAAACCCAGGGTTTGGGTGTAAAATGGAAAGAAGGTTTTTTGGTGAATGAGAGGAAAATGATTGTGGGGTTTGATACTGATGTTGTATGGTGTCAAAATTGTCGATTTTGGTACATGGTTGAAACTTGGGAAAATAAGGGAGTTTGCCCTAAAATGGTTATAATATTTGTTTTGTATAAATAATGAAATTGGTGTTTGTAAACATGAAATTGGACGAGTATTGAAATACATGGTGGGATTGAGTGAATGATACATCTCATCTTTGGGAATTTTGAATAAATTATATGTCTTGAGATTATATATTTGTTTAGAAATAACTGTATTGAGCTATCGGTGGTGGATAGTTATGATTGTTGTAGAAATTGCATGAGGATTAGGTAAATTAAACTAATCCATAATTGGTTATCATTGAATATGATCATGTTGTAAATACATTGTATATATATGATTGTTTGGGAGGAGAAAGGGAATGTACTCCAGGTATGATTATGTGCTTAAATACATCGTATATGTATGATTGTTTAGGAAGAGAAAGGGGATGTACTCCATTGTTGGGGAGAAGAAATCAGATGGACTCCATTATAATTAAATTGACCAGAGTGTCCTGGGTGAAAGTCCTAAAATTTATATATGGGTGCTGATCCCGTGGACGAAATTTTCGTAAAATGGCAGATTGAAGTGTTTGTGTGTTAATGGTGTGATTGTAGAACTATTGAATTGTAGTCTCATTTGGGTTATAGAAAATAATGAAATTAACTCATGTATTGAAATAAATTGAAAGGGAATGAAATAAAATATGGACTTAGTATTCTATGACTACATAAAAAAAATGTGAATGTTTTATTTTTGGCCTTTGTATATACACATTGCACTTATATTTTCGTTAAATGTTATATATTGTGTTGGATTATTTTTACTGGGCTTTGGCTGACCCTACTTGGGAAACCATTTTTAGGTATTAGTGATATGTTTCCTCCAAGAACATAGCTTGGGAGGACCTAGGAGTTAGAGGCTCTATTTTGTTATTTTGTGTTTAAATGTTTATTCAAGCCAATGACTTTATATGTATAGAGCTTATGACTCTTTTTTGTTGTAACCAAGTAATGTCTTTGAAAGATGTAAGCCCGTAAGGCATTTATTTTGTTGATCATTAACCGATACTATATGCTATAGATTCATGGTGTATATTTATGAATGTATATTATATGTGTTATCTTTTGTAATACGAACTCTGATAAATGAATGTATTTTATTTCTGTTATTTGGTAAATATTTTGGAACTAAAAACGTACAAAAAGAAAAAATAGGCTATATAAGCCAATAAGATAAAATGTCACATCTAAATCATAATCATTACACTTTTTGTCTCACAAAAGTAAAAAAAAAAATCCGAAAATAAAAATCAAACGAGGCTAAAAAAGTCTCAATACAAAAAAGTTGACTACCGTAACTAATGTCAAACGAAACTTAAATGAATTATTAAATATTTTATCAGAGAGGATTACCTATATCTTCTTTTATATTTATCTATCTATATATACTATTATTAAGTGAAGGTAAGATTTAGTGTCCAAATCTTTACGTCATGCCACATGACATTTTTTTTTTTCTAACCTAAAATAAAAAGTTATTATTAGAGGTGGAGAAGGTTTGAACAATGTATTGGATTTCATTAATAAGAGCCTTATTACTTAAGTAATATATATATATATATATATTAATAAAATAAAATAAAATAAAATAAAAAGTTGGATAGGGGCGCTACTATTAAAGGTGTGCCACTTTTTCAAAGGAATTATAACATATTGTTAATGCAAGTAGACAATTTCCTCCATTCTAAATAAAAAAATAAAAAAATAGACAATTTCCTAGTTTTTAATGCAAGTTGGGATGGATTGTTTTAGCATGAATTTTAAACTTTAACATCTTAAGTTTAATTTAATTTAATAATGCATTTAGTTTAAGTTGATATATAATATTTATGTACTTTGAAGCTATGCACTTTTTAAAAAGGGTTAAACTATAATAAGTTCTACAATTTTAACATAATTATGTTTATCTTTATTTTAGTAAAATTAAATTAACCGAAATTAATATAAATAGTAGATAAATACTGAAATAAACTAATATAAATATAAATATATATATTTTAGTAAAAAATA